GTCAAGTTTATATATTAACAAATTATGCACCAAATCGAAAGCTTTACTAAAATCAGTATATATAATATCAGTTTGGAGATTTTTTGAGAATCTAATAAATTTGTCAAAGTTGATCTTCCTTTAACAAAACCATGCTGGTGCGGTGATACTATAGATGTAACGAAATGAGTTATTCGTTGTGTAACCAAACGCTCAAAAAGTTTGGGAATTGCACTTAGTTTTGAAATGCCCCTATAATTTTCAATAACACATATACTGTCAGCTTTATGCAATGGAATAATAAAGCTCGAACGCCAAATAAGAGGAAAATACCCTAGGGTTAACGAAGTATTAAAAATACTTGTTAGAGGAAGATATAGTTCATGTGCACATGCCTTTAAAATGAAAGACGGTACACCATCTGGACCCGGTGAGTTGGAACATTTCAATAACAGTAGACCTTTCAACACTTCATCTGATGTGAGAATAATATGAGGAAAATGATTAAGTTCATTCACTGTTAATTATTTTATAAAAGCTTGAAATACGAAAGTCCAAATTACCTTCAAAACACCAATTTATATTGGACAATGTAGAACGCAACAGATCAACGTTAGTCTTGCCAAAGTTTAACTTACGCGACTTTTTTGAGATGAATTATGTTTTTTTTGAATGTTACTAAGTTCAATGGCTACCATAAGAGTAGGATGATACATATCCTCTGGCTCTGAGAAAGGAGGGATTCTGCACACAGAAGAAGTTAAGGATGAAGAAAAAATTAAATCTAATAATTTACCTTTTGCATTATAGATAGAATTTATTTGATAAAAACATTGCTCAAAAAGATGACATCTCAGTAGAAAGTTCTATAGAAGATACTGGTACATAATCTACAATATTTTCTCCTGGGACCCATGCTAGATTAGGCAGATTGAGTGGTTTTTCAATTGCTGAACGAAGAAACGGTTTCAAGTTTTCAGCCATATTTTATCAGTTCTCTAATAAATTAAAACAATTTACAACTAGCAAGTCAACTCAACATTTTAATAAACTTATTTATCGTTTTCTACATCAAGTTTTTCCATTCTCATTTTTAATTTCATATGTACGCCATCCGGCCCTGGTTTTACTTAGATGTTACTCATTGCAACCCGCCTCTAGCATTTGCTAGCTAAATTTTTATATGGCAAACTACATCTAGCATTTTCAAGCTAGTTTATAATATGGTCAACTGTCTCTAGCCTTTGCTAGATTACTATTTTACATCGCAAAATGCTCTTGCCTGGTCATAAAGAACAAGATACTTAAAATGTCCTTTCTGGCCAAACTGCCGCTTGCTTCGCAAGATAATAACATAAGACTGATAAACAGTCCCTGTCTCAGCATCTAATTAAGCACAATTTAAATGCAATTAAATATTTCAAGTTAAAAAAAATAACTTTACATTTCAACCATCAAATTTGCATATATCTTAACAATAACCAAACATTTTTCTTTTCACACTTTAATGTTTATTTCATAATTACCGATCTTATCCTCGTCGCCAATGAAACAACCTTCTTCTATTCGTAAATAAAATGCAAAATAAGTTCATCAATTTGTTTACATTTCACTCTTTGTTAAACTCCAAAAAAATTAAATTAAAATCATACAGCTGAATGTCAAGACTACACTACACCGCCAAGAAAGATCAACGCCGATGCCAAGTGTTGGCGGCCTATGCCGTTCACCGGTCCGGTGATCCGAAAAGGAGAGATTCATGCTTATTGGTACTGCTCACTCCCTAGCCCAGTCACTGGGCTATTTCTACTTCAGCTTTCATGAGGGATAGGAAGAGTTCGACAGCAGTCGCTTTGCAGTTATGCAGATTAAGCTGCATGATGCTAAGAAGCTGTGTCTGTACTGAGTTTGGGGTTCCGTTTGCCGAGTATTGTCAGAACGCGTGCCAGGTCCACCGAAGGTGGTGGCACCCTTGTCGGAAAGTAGTATGGATACAGACGCAAAGTAGCACCCCTGCCAAAGGCCAGCTACTGTGGTGACCAGGAATGCTTTAGGCTCCTCGTTTTCACAGCAGATGACTTTTACGTGTTTGTAAAGGGTGGCGCTGCCAAACTGTAACCTTTTAGGGCCCCCTTTACCTAGAAGGACCAACTCTCTCAGACGATTTTCGAATAGTAGCCATCGACTTTTCCTGATTTTACATTCTAGTTCAGCCTTGTCGATGACCGCTACTGGTTGTCCTGGTAGATCGTTTGGCAGCGTTTCCTTTTCCGTACGGTTTGTCTTGCCACTTGTGATTTGACTGCTTCCTTGTGGCCCTTTCCAGGCTTAGATTATGTGGGGCTACCGGAACCAGACTAGTCACAGTTGGCTGATGACCGACGGAAAAGGAATGGTATGATTTGGCTGGGAGGCTTGAGCCGCATGTGGCTTCTTGGCATCGGGATGTGGTTCCTCTATAGACCGACCTCTCTTCAACGCTAAACATGAAGAGGTTTCGGTTTCCGTTGGAGCCGCCGAGGCTCCAGCCGTCACAAGCTCTGTCTTCTTAGCCTTACGTCTCCTGCGCTTCTTTGCCAGGAGGATTGGACTCCGCGGGGTCAGCATCCGCCACCACCGATGTGAGTCCTAAGCGGTAGGTCTAACTGAGTCCTAATCGGTAGATCTAACTTTTCGTTGATAACAGTGGGTAGGAGTGTGAGAGCTACCTGATTAAGAGAACAGCTCGCCTGTTGTGGACGATTCTTTTCAAACATTTCTAACTATCTTGAGATTCATCTCAAACTGTATTGTCTCCCTCTCCTACGTCGATGGCGCATTGCTGAAGGACTAAGGCATCGGTATCGGCCGACAGAGATCCCTCCTGTTAATGTGAGTGAGTTTCAGAAGAGCGGATAACTGTCCACTCTGCTGATAAATGCGTTCGGAGATAACGTCTCTGGACGTTAGAATCGTGTCGTCCCCTCCATAATTTCGTGTTCTTTGACTGGTTCGATGTCGTTGCATCGGCAGAAGTAGCATGGTCGTTGGGATTTTTGTGTTGTTTACAACAATTTTTGAGTTCTCCAAAAATATTCGGATACAGTCGGTACCCTGACTGCAAACCGAGAAACGCTTTCTATAGACAAACATCGCTCACTGTTTATTTAGAGGAGCTAGTTATTCGACTCATCGAGGATCATGGCATATTTTATTCTATTCATATTCATAACTCATATATATCAAAAAAGATAAAAACTGTAAAAAGTACTAAAAACAGAAATTAAGCAAAATAATTATATGATGACGGGAACTACGAAGGTGGCTCATAAGTTTTAAGCGGAAAGCATTATTATTCGGTGTAAATATTCTCAGTTCAATAGGCAAATAATTTCATAAATGTGCAATTCGTATTACAAAAGATCTTTCAAAAGTACAATTGTATATTCTGGGCACTAAATATCTTGAGGACAACATACAAATAAAATACGTGAACATGACAGGAAATTTATTCTGCTCTCTGCTTTTATCAGCAAGTATGGTTTCACATTAAACAACATTATAGGTAACATACCTGCCATCAGTAAACATAAGTAGGAATACAATTTTACAAATAAATACAATTTTTTATTGAGGATGGGTTCACACGAGGCACAAATATAATCAAAAGGCTAAACCGATATCAGAACATCAAAATATTTGCCATCAACAAAATGCTGCCTTGTGTCTTCGTAATGAATTCCTCACAACTTTTAAATTTGATATTTTGTTAGTATGCAACAACTTCAGTAAGTAAATAGTTATCAAAAGCAACGGCAATTACAGATGAATGCAACAACAGCAACACAATATTCATCAATTTGCAAAAAATCAACTTCGAAATAATTTCAAAAGATTTACGCTTATTTTTATAAGCCCAGCGTATAGAACATCGAGTATATGTTTATAAACCAACGTTAACAGCAATATAAAGGCATAGATTTGCCAGACAGTATAAGACATTTAAAGCGTAGGAAATCAAGAGCATTAGCAATGCATAAGATTCAGTATTAGATGTAATGCCTCCCATAAATTAGTTTTCTCTGATTCCAAATTTTAACAGCTCTATAGTCAGGAAGCTCTACTAAATATGCATAGCATACACCCGACTTTTGACCTTTACTGTCAAATCAAATGCTAAACATGGGTGCAAAATGTAGTGGGATTGACGCAAATTTTTCGAATAGTCCTCATACGGTAAATTAGAGTAGTCATGTATAAAATTTTTTGGAACCGTCCATGGCCCTATGGGCTAGAAAACTGTTTTAATAGAATATACAAAAAAAAAAAATAGTATTTTAACAATCAAAATGAAGAAAAAAATATAATTGATATTTTAGTTTCAATTTACATACGTCAAAAAAGTAGATCTTAGAAGAATATGACAAATTCAATCAAATCATTCAACTCCCTTCTTAGGGAGTCCTCATGTTGTACTTAAAATATCAAAATCCCCTTAATTGAAAATATGAAAAAGAAGAAATACAGGGTTGCCCATATTCGACGGACCCATCTGGCAACGCCATAACTTTTGACAGAGATGTCACATCGCTTAATGACATACCGCGTTTGAAGCGTCAGCCCAAGCAAATTTTTACCATGAACCAATACAATACGCTCTGAAATAGTTGAAATTTACAAGAAGTCAATTGTGAAAACTCAACGTGCTTTTAAAACATTAAAAAATGTGAGAAGTGTGCCTTCTAAGAACACCATTAAGCGTTTATACGAAAAAATTTCGACTGGTAAGGCTCTTTCTAATCCGAAGAGGCTATATAAAAGTCGACCAAGGCGATCGGCCGAGAATATCGCTGCCGTACGAGCCAGTGTTGAGAGGTCCCCAAGAAGATAATATAATAATATACATATATATATATTATATATAATATATATTATATATATATATTATATATATATATATAATATACATATATATATATATATATATATATATATATATATATATATATAGATAGTGAAGATAATATGTTTCCTCATTTCAGGCAACAATTCCTGATCCAGACGATACAAAACCAGAAGATTGGGATAAACCGCAGCATATTCCTGATCCTGATGCTACTAAACCGGAAGATTGGGATGATGAAATGGATGGTGAGTGGGAGCCCCCTATGGTGGACAATCCTGAATATAAAGGAGAATGGCAACCAAAACAACTCGATAACCCGAACTACAAGGGACCTTGGCAGCACCCTGAAATAGACAATCCCGAGTATAGCCCAGATTCAAATTTGTACCTTCGAAAGGAAATTTGTACTATCGGGTTCGATTTATGGCAAGTTAAGTCAGGTACCATATTCGATAATATACTTATTACCGATGATATTGAAATGGCAACGGAGATTGCTGCAAATGTAAAGAATACTCAAGCTGGGGAACGGAAAATGAAGGAAAAACTGGATGAAGAACAAAGAAAAAAGGATGAGAATGAACAAAAGTCCTCAGATTCAGAAGATGACGATGATAAAGAGGAAATATCTGAAGACAATGGAAATGATCATGACGAACTGTAGACATAGTTTTAAATTGGAGTAATTAAATGAGTTTGAAATAATATTCATGCAATGTTAATTTGTTTTTAATTAATATGAAAGCCAGAAAATATTTTTCAGCGACTTTATAGCGAAAGGAACTTACTCAAATATAGTTGTGGGCCAGAATATTAATTGCACACTGATGCAAAAAATCATTTTTTTGTGATAAAATTTTAACAAATTTAATTGACAAAAATTGCTACAAAACATTATTTGTGTCGATGTGTCTAATTCAATTCAACATGTATGAACTTGAATAGTATGTGTCTTTGTTACGTTCCTTCGTAAACAAATATGTGTGCAAGTAAAGAAAAGAGATTGTACACATCCACACATGTATATTGGTTGATGTTCGAATCGCGATCGCGTAGTCACCATGATCCGTACCACACCAGCTCATTGATCATTGGACTTGTGGGTTAAACTTTAAATTTAACAATAAACGTGTCGGAATATTTTAGCTCAAGGTGACGATACCGGATGGAGACTGGGCTGGTTGATCTGCTAGTGAACCTCCTTTGGACGGTATGTGCATATATACAGGTTCCAAGATTAAAGAAGGCACCGGTCAAGGTCTGTCAAAGTTCCATCATTAAATGCTCATAGAAACTCAATGGAAATGGTAAGAGAACGTGGACGGCATTTATGGTATAATTATTGATGACCTCGGTTGGGGGTATTATCAACTAAAGGGCTGCAAATGTGACATATTTCTGTTGATATCTATGCATATTTTGTTATTGAATGAGAATCATATCTGTCCTCATCTAAAATTTTAAAAGGGCATTATACTACGTCATTTTAAAGAATAATTTTTAATTATTAGTTTGGTACTGCATTTTATATTTATGGCGTGTTTGTTCTAAAGGCCTGCACAAGACGAATTGTATGAATTATGCTTTTTTCGACACACTGACTTTGTCTACTCAATCATGCGCTATGTATTTGATAGGCAATGGCAACCAACAACATCCCCCATTTTAATTCATGTGTGCCATTGTCTAAGGTTCGATCGTGTCATGCCTGACTCGAATATTTGCATGGTGTTCTCCATAAATGCAGGGTGTCGACGATGACATCGAGCCGTGTCATCGTCAAATTGTGTGTCACTTGTGTACGTGTGCTTAAACTGAGAGAGTGTGTGTGTGTTACTTTCGACGGTGAGTATATGTTTTAGTGTGTGCTGTAATTTTAAAGTAACAAACACCACGTAAATATAAAATTTAATACCAAATCAATAATTAAAAAATATTCTTATCATTATTAGATGAGGTAAGATGTGACTCTCATTCAATAACAAAATATCCATAGACATCAAAATAGAAAATATACTGGACAATCCCAATTTATTGGCGTCTATCATAAATGTTTGGTCATAAATAAAAGGAAAATATTGTTTGCCTATTTTCTACCTACATATAGTGTTCTTTTAAAATTACAGTATGTGGGCAGAGATATGAATCTCATTCAATAACAGAATATTCACACAATACAACAATGTAAGTATATAGTGTTGTTTACGTGAATTAAAGTAGCACTCATTTTCATTTACACCTCATTACTGGAGGCAAAACCCGTGTTTTTGTTAGGAAAATTTGTAAGGTTTTTTTAAATAAGGACTGACAATTTGGACTGTTTCGTCAATAACCACGATATGTGAAAATTTTGGGTGGACCGTTAGAAATACCAGAAATATGTTAGCATTCCAAAGAAATTCTTTATTACAAAAAGTGTATTTTTTTCATACATCGGAAAAAAACAGGTAGCGATTGCGCTTTGCCTTCGTTACGTATGTGTCTTTTTCATTTGCAAATGTTTCCAAAGAAATTCTTTATTACAAAAAATGTATTTTTTCATACATCGGGAAAACAGGTAGCGAATGCGCTTTGCCTTCGTTACGTATGTGTCTTTTTCATTTGCAAATGTTTCATTGTTGTTGTTATTTTTTTGGTAGAACATTTTTGTATAACATACTATTCAACATCCCCTTTTATTGGTCATTCATGTTATGAATGTTCGCCGGCGTTAAGTACGGACGCGTTTTATTTTTCGTTGCTAATGAAAGGTGTTTTTTTTTTCACAAGCAAAGCAAAATAAATAATATAAAAGCAAACAGTATGCTACTAAATAAACTCAGGAAATATAATCTAAAAAAACCTGCTAAAAATCCTTTTTATTAAGAATTTTTGCAAAATAGTTTTTTTTCTACTTTATCCTCTTTTTCCTCAAGCACATAAATCGGTTTGTTATAGTGTTAACAATAACAAGTGTATGTCACTCTCTCATACGGAAGAGAGAAATGTAAGTGAGAACGGGCAAAACGTATACCTTAAGTTGACGTCGACAGATTTCAGCTCAACCGCGCCAAAACGCCACGAAAGCTGGTATCTTACAGCTAAACCCCAAAGCCGTTCTAAATCGGCATCGCCGAGAGTTTTTCATGACGAAAACTTGCCAGATGAGACTACTCCCAACGAAACAACAGAAATGTCATATAAACAAAACAATGTAAACACGCCCAAAATAAATTCAATAAAGGTGCTATCACACGATGCGATTGTACATCAAGAAACTATCGCTTCAAGTAAGCATGCGTCTCTTGAAAAAAACAAGAAGCAAAACATAGTTCCTCCAGGCATGGACCGATATGTCTTAGTAACAAAGCATAAGGCTAGTTCTAGAACTCCAACCAAGGAACCAAAAGCTAAAACCCAAAAGTCTATGATCAATGACCGCAACAACAGATTCTCAATTCTCGGCTCGAATAACGAGACGGATGAAATGATACAACCGGTTAGATCCCAAAAACCTCCCCCACTATATCTTCGCGAAGAAACTACAAACAATCTTGTGAACAAACTCTCCCAAATATTGGGTAAACCTAATTTTCACGTGGTATCTCTTAAGAGAGGAAATCTCCAAGAGACGAAAATACAAACTTATACTGAGTCGCATTATAAGGACCTAGTTCGAGCTCTGGATTCTGATAAGAAGAATTATTACACCTATCAGATCAAGAGCTCAAAAGGACTAGTCATCGTCATTAAAGGGCTTCATAGTTCTGCAACCATAGAGGACATAAAAGATGCTCTCGCAGCAGAAGGATTCGAAGTCTATCATCAACATTTTCAATAAAGATAAAGTTCCGCAACCTATGTTTAAAGTAGAACTAACATACGAATCTTCGCAACTAAAGAAAAAGGGACAATTTCATCCAATTTATAGCCTTAGGCTTCTTTGTAATCGCGGTGTGAAAATTGAAGAACCTCAAAAAAGAAAAGGCCAACCTCAATGTACAAACTGCCAAGAGTATGGGCATACCAAAACGTATTGTAAATTGCTATCGGTTTGTGTTACTTGTGGTGACCTCCACAAATCATCGGAATGTCCACATCCCAAAACTGACCCAAGCGTCAAAAAGTGCAGCAATTGCGGTGGAAATCATATTGCAAACTACAGAGGATGTGCTGTATTTATCCACTTAACAAAATCTAGCTTAGCCACAAAAAAGCCTACAAGCTACCGGGTACGGGAAAATCCACAATTTAGTATCAAAACAGCTGAGTTCCCTGAGCTAAACAAGAGGAATATGCAATACTTATATTCTGATACTTTGAGAAATGACTCACCCAACAATAAAAATTCAAATATAGAATCATCTATCGAAAAACTAATCGTCACCATGAATTCTTTTATGACAAGTATGCAAAGCATGATGCAAGATATTGTGAGAAATCAATCTATGATTATGCAAATAGTTTTAAAACAAAAATAGATAAAATTCGAATATGTTTTGGAACGCAAACGGCTTAAGCCAACATAAACACGAGGTCGAAAACTTTATTCACCCACTCAACATACACATTTTACTGGTATCTGAAACTCATTTCACTTCTAGAAACTTTTTAGAATAAACGGTTACAGTACATACGACACTAAACACCCTAGTGGGAGAGCTTGCGGTGGCACCGCGGTGATAATTTCTAATAAAATTCAGCATTACCCCATGCCAGAATATAAGTTTGACCACCTACAAGCTACAACAGTTGCACTATCTTCAACGAATACAGCTATATCTGCTATATATTGTCCTCCGAGACATAGTATAAGCAAAGATGAATTCGCACACTTTTTCTCATCTCTTGGTAGTAGATTCATTGCAGCTGGAGATTATAATGCCAAACACACCTTCTGGGGATCTAGACTTATTACACCCAGAGGTAGACAGCTTTTAAACTCCATTTCGTCCGCTAAACTGGACGTGTTATCTACTGGCCAGCCTACTTACTGGCCTTCAGACCTGCAAAAACGCCCTGACTTAATTGACTTTGCGGTAACAAAGAATATTAAGAGGGAACAAATGTCCGTGGTACCCTCGTTTGACTTGTCGTCAGACCATTCCCCAACTATAATAACATTAAATGATGTTCAACTCGCAACTTCCCCGGATTATCTACCAAATAAATATACAAACTGGATGAAGTACAAAAATATGTCAGTACACATGTGAATTCTAACATTCCTCTAAAGTCCGGAGAAGAAATTGACAATGCAGTTAAAATATTTACTTCGATTGTCAACACCGCTGTCAATGTTGCCACTCCCACTAAATTTTCAAAACTAGAAAATAATTCCTATAATCCATCGACCATTCGAAAACTCGTGTCTGATAAAAGGAAGGCCAGAAGAGAATGGCAGAAGCACCGATCACCTAGGTTTAGGGAAAAACTAAAAGAATGTGAAAAACTCTTACAACAAGCACTCAGATTAAATGAAGAGCGAAACCTAAAAATATTCCAAAATAACCTGGATCCCACAGAGAGAACTGACTACAGCTTATGGAAAGCCACAAAAAACTTGAAAAGACCTATCGCCCACAAATCTCTAATTCGCCTAGAAAATGGGACTTGGGCAAGATCTACAGAAGAAAAAGTAAACGCATTTGCCGAACACCTTGAATCTGTATTTACCCCTAATCCCGGACCATCGACAGTTGTTCAACCTTTAATTGACGACATTGTTCCGAATCCA